GATTCTTAAGAGTGTGATCCAACAACAGCAAAGTTGATCATCGTACTGCGGTATAAGGTTGTCCTGGTGCCAAAGCAAATATGGACACCCTCATGCCTGAACATGGTGTTCGTTATGGACAGTCCATGACGGGCACAGAGGTCAAACAATTAAACAATACTTGAGTCATGCCTGGGCGGGGCAATTCCCCTCAACCACACACTTCCAGGTTTCACTGTCATTGGTCCCGTGTGCATTGAAGTCCGCCAGTGGAACAAGGGCGCACTCCAGCACCACTTCTAAGGGCTCCGAAAAGGGTGGGTAATTAGGGGGGCCACTGCCAGCGGCAGACCCCCCTATTACTATCCAAAATACTTATTCCGCTCCTTATAATTCTCCTGTTTCCGCCCGAATTTCGGCGTGTAACTTGTCGCGCACGGTTCCGCGGATCGGGCCCAAACCAGTACACGCGTCCGACCCGACCACGGAACGTGTGCTATTACAAAACTTTCTCAAAGAACCGGGCTAAATTGTGGCCATAGGAATGAATGGGGGAGCCGACAAACGGGCCCAAAAAAAAGCCGAGCTTGGCCCCACGACGTCCGAGACACCTTGTTCGAACATTGAACCGGTCACGAAAGATGGGCCTCCGCCATATCGGAGCCACGAGGTTAGATCTCGCACCGTTTGCCCACAATCGCTGTTGACGTTTTAGTGAAGTTCAGAAAATCAGAGATCCTGGCCCGCACTCTTGCTCAGCTCGTTAATCGGGCAATCGGGCCCAGAGTCCAGACTTTCACAACCCTCTCCAATAGGATTTTAGTGGAAGAAGGGAGATTTTTTTTTCACCGCAGCCATAACAGACCTCATTTTGAAATTGCCATAAAAAAAGAACTGGTGGGCGCAGCTGGAAAAAAAAATTGCCTGAGACCTGCAACGCTCGTGGCGCTCACGGTCCAAGAATGTTTCAGTTTTGTGAAATAGTTTTCGAACAGCGGGCAGGAGTTCGGAGGCAACTTTTGATCGAAAATGTCAGTTAGGTGTATCAGAGCTGCGGCTCAGTGATAAGTCACACCTGTGGCAGTTTAAAATGTTCAGAGTTGGGGCCAGGCTGTTGTTGCCGTGGCGATCAGATGAGCTCTGCAGAGCTGTGGGGCTGATGGATACATTGGTTCTGGTACCAGGCGGGCTAAGCCTGCTTAGAGGGCTTTAGTCAGAGCCCGGTTCTGGTTCTGGTTCTGGGTATCAGCTTTCAGCCAATGTGACCCCCGACCTGCTCAAACCAATTGCATTCGGTCAGCGGGCCCCGGAGCTCAGCCAGGTCCCTCCATCACTGCGTCTCTCCCTGAGGCCCTCTCACAGGGCCTGAGCCATCACTAAAAACAGACAAAATATCGATTGGCCGACCTGCCGGGCCCCTATTGAGTGCCCCAGGAAGCCAGCCCCGGGTTCCTGGATTGGCAGTAGGTGGCCCCCCTCAAAATTTCTTTAGAAATGTTCTAGTGTGAGCTGCTGTTAGGTTCATAAACACAAAGTTGGAGGGAGGCTACCCTCTCGTTCACCAGGGTGAACTCCAACATTCAGGCCCCAAGATGGGGGTCAACCAGTATTAACACTCCGTCTCTCACTGAGTGCAACTCCCAAGTAAAAGAGTATTTTACCAGTTTTAGGAGCATAACTCTGAAAGCAGCCTCTTCCTGGCTCAGTCCAGACTCTGGACTTCAGTTTGAAAGCTCTAACTGCGGTTCTGAGAGTCCCAGCTGGCTCCTACGCCTCTAAAACATCACCAGGAAAAGACTTAAAGTCTAGAGTGGGGTTTGATGTGTGAGGGGACGAGCTTTTAGGGGCCGAGGTGTGAGGGGCGGAGATGGTGGAGGGGTCGATGTGTAAGGGGCCCAAGGTGGGAGAGGCCGAGTTGGGAGGGGCCAAGTTTTTAGGGGCAAGGCTTTTAGGGGGCGAGGTGTGAAGGGCCGATGTTTGAGGGGCCTAAGTTGGGATGGGCCAAGGTTTTAGGGGACAATGTGTAAGTTTGAGGGGGGCCAATGTGTTAGGGTCATGGGATAGGAGGGGCTGATGTGTGAGGGGCAGATGTTTGAGGGGCCTAAGTTTGAGGGGTCGAAGTGTAAGGGGCCCAAGGTGGGATGGGCCAAGGTTTTAGGGGACAATGTGTTAGAGTTCTGGGATGGTAGGGGCTGATGTGTGAAGGGCAGATGTTTTAGGGGCCTACGCTTGAGGGGTCAAAGTTAAAGGGCCCAAGGTGGGAGGGGCCGAAGTTTTAGGGGACAATGTATAAGTTTGTGTTAGGGTCCTGGGATAGGAGGGGCTGATGTGTTAGGGGCCTACGATTGAGGGGTCGAAGTGTAAGGGGCCCAAGGTGGGAGGGGCCGAAGTTTTAGGGGCCAATGTGTTAGGGTCCTGGGATAGGAGGGGCCTAAGTTTGAGCAGTCGCAATGTAAGGGGCCCAAGGTTTGATGGGCCAAGGTTTTAGGGGACAATGTGTTAGGGCCCTGGGATAGGAGGGGCTGATGTGTGAGGGGCAGATGTTTGAGGGGCCTAAGTTTAGGGGGTCGAAGTGTAAGGGGCCCAAGGTTTTAGGGGCACCTTCACCACAGATTGAACCACTGCAGAAAACCCGCTATTTCAAGATTTGTCTGTCACGAGCAGAAGTCCAGAGTTTCTTTGCCGAATGAGATGAAACAGAAACTCTGAAGCCTTTTTCTAAGGCATGAGAGTTTGAGCAGCATGTTTATGTTTATGTTTATGTTTATGCATTTGCCAGACGCTTTTATCCAAAGCGACTTACAGAGTAGACCCAATATTCCATTTCTCATCACTATGACAATAAGCTATATAGAGGAGATACACTGATCAGAGTCAGTGTTGAGATAGAGATAGAGGTAGAGGAACTACAGAAGGAGCTGTGGGGGGTAGAGGTACGGGTTAGGGTTAGGATACGAGATGCTCTTTGAAGAGGGGGGTCTTCAAGAGTTTCTTGAAGACAGACAGGGACTCTGCTGTTCTTGTAGCTTGGTAGGTCGTTCCACCATCTTGGAACAACACATTAAACAGTCTGGATTGTCTAGCATGCCTGTGTCGGGCCCCCACAGGGCCCCAGACCCAGTGGGTAGGACTGAGCTCCAGGTCCAGCCTCCGTGTTGGTGAGGGAGGGGTGGCATCAGAGATAAATCGGAGGGAGGACAGAGTTTTTCTGGCAGAGCTGCTGCGCGTCGGCAGCTTCTCCTCCGGAGCTCCGTGATGGCAGCTGTGGCTGGAGAAGCTGAGCTCTGCTTTCCAGAACTCCTGAACAGCTCCTGCAGGAGGATAAAATATCCTCCCTCAACATCCGTGCTCATCTCCATCACTCTGTCCTCCGTCTCTGTGCTCACCGTGACGCTAAACCTGCTGGTCATCATCTCCATCTCACACTTCAAGTAATCACACGTAATCAAAAGTGTTTTGTCTAGATGTCTAGATTCGAGTCAAAACGTGCCTGCTTGCATCAGACGTGCTCAAAAGTGTTTTAGATGTCTAGATTCGAGTCAAAACGTGCCTGCTTGTATCAGACGTGCTCAAAAGTGTTTTAAATGTTTAGATTTGAGTCAAAACGTGCCTGCTTGTATCAGACGTGCTCAAAAGTGTTTTAAATGTCTAGATTCGAGTCAAAACGTGCCTGCTTGTATCACACGTGCTCAAAAGTGTTTTAAATGTCTAGATTCGAGTCAAAACGTGCCTGCTTGTATCAGACGTGCTCAAAAGTGTTTTAGATGTCTAGATTCGAGTCAAAACGTGCCTGCTTATATCACACGTGCTCAAAAGTGTTTTAAATGTCTACATTCGAGTCAAAACGTGCCTGCTTGTATCACACGTGCTCAAAAGTGTTTTAGATGTCTAGATTTGGTGTAAACGTGCCTGCTTGCATCAGAAATGTCAGAGCTGTGTTGTCGTTTCTGCAGGAGGCTCCACACCCCGGCCAACCTCCTGCTCCTCTCCCTGGCTGTCTCGGACTGCATGGTGGGCCTCCTCATTTCCCTCCAGATCTCTCTGATAGACGGCTGCTGGTTCCTGGGCGACGCCATGTGCGTCCTGTACTGGGTCCTGGACCACGTCATCACCTCGGCCTCCATAGGAACCATGGTGCTCATCTCGGTCGACCGCTACGTGGCCATCTTCTACCCTCTGCACTACCCCGGGAAGGTGACTCTGAGCAGGGCGAGGCTGTGCGTGGCCCTGTGCTGGATTGGCTCGGCCCTGTTCCACTGCCTTTTGCTGATGGAGGGCCTGAGGAAGCCCGGCCTGTACGCGTCCTGCTCGGGGGAGTGCGTGCTGTTCGTGGACCCGGTGGGCGGCCTGTGCGACCTGCTGTTCTCCTTCGTGGGCCCCGTCTCCGTCACCGTGGTCCTGTACCTGCGGGTGTTCGTGGTGGTGGTGACTCAGGCCCGGGCCATGAGGGCCCAGAGGGCCCAGAGGCCCCTGGGGCTCGGCGCGAGGAGCTGGAGCTCCGAGGCCAAAGCCGTGCGCACGCTGGCCGTGGTGGTGGCCGCGTTCCTGGTGTGCACGTGCCCCTTTTTCTGCGTCACGCTGGCGGCTCGGGACGCCGGCGTGAGCGCCGCCTCCGTGGCCGTGCTCCTCTTCTACTTCAACTCCACCCTCAACCCCCTGATCTACACCATCTTCTACCCCTGGTTCAGGAGGTGCGTGAGGCTGATCGCCACGCTCCAGATCCTGCGGCCCGGCTCCTCCGACATGGCCGTGGCCTAGAGGGGGGGGGGGCTCAGTCCTGAAGAAGGACTCTCCGTTCTAGTGCTTGCTCATGGTGGGAATTGTCGGGTTTCTGTAATTAACTTCAGAGTAATTAACTTCTGTTTGGAAACCTGTGAGACAACTGTTGTTGTGATGTGGAAACCGACGTCCTCAGACTGATACGCTCATTAACGCCTGTGACTAACTGCTTAATTGTTGTTTTCCTGATGGAAAAACTCTGTCCTGGGGAGGACAGACATTCTTTTTTATTTATTTATTTATTTATTTTTTTCCCCCTTGTCGTGTTTGGCATTATAGCAACAGAGCTGTAATCTGAGTGCCGTGCTGTGCCCGACACTTTTGCTTTGCCAAGGGAGGCCTGTCAGGGTGAGAACCCTCCCCTGATCATCCCATACTGCTTTATTATTTATTAAGAATTTATTTTTGTTACATAAGTAATATGGCTAATGCCAACCATGACCGGGGGACAGGAAAGGGGAAAAAAGAAAGAGATTCCTAAAACAGGAAGAGAGGAGAAAAAAAAAAAAAAGGAAAGAGAGACAACAAGACCATCCATCCAGAGGACTCTCCATTCTAGTGCTGCTCATGGTGGGAATTGTTGGGTTTCTGTAATTAACTTCAGAGTAGGTCTGACCTGCTCTGTTTGGAAAGCTGTGAGACAACTGTTGTTGTGATGTGGCGCTATATGAATAAAATTTAATTGAATTCAATTGAAATTCAATCCTGTCGGCCGGGTTTTTGCTCCGTAATGACAAACACAGACTCTTTCGGTGGGATTTGTGGCTGTGGGGCTCAGAGGGGATAGCGGGGGGCCCCCTGCCTTAGCAACAGCAGCCACACCACCATGAGCCCCCCCCCCCGAAACAACTGATGCCATGTTTGTTGCTGAGATTTTGACAAAAATGTGCAATGATTCATCAGGTTTCTGTGGAGGTTATTCAGAAATGTCAGTGGGCACTAAACTGTCCTTGCACTGTTCAATAAAAAAGTTTTAACCCTATAATGCCAAATGTGTCATATCTAATTCATACTGTTTCTGAAATGTTTTGCGTCGGACACCTTTTGCATAATTTAATGGTAAAAACTTTGCTCAAAATCCTAATTTACACAATCAGATACACCTGATAACAGGGGGCAGAAGACTACACAAAACATTATCTTGACTTATCGCATAGTAATAGATTATTAATATTAAAATGTATTTCTGTTTTTTATTTTTACATATTTTGTTAAAAGGCCAAATAAGGAATTCAAACCCCCAAAAAAGTAATTTTCTGTTTTCTGTTTTTATTCTTGGATCAGGCTTTAAAGCTTTAAGACGTGTTGTTTTCATGTGAGTTTTTACACCTGCAAATGAGTTCAAAGCTCAGAGTTTACAAACGGAGC